GCGAGACCCTTGTTACTCGCAACGCTCGCATGAAGCGCAAAAGCGACGGCGATAGCCTTGCAACGAGGGCTAATAGGGCAAGTTCAAAGCGTCGCGCTGTGTCTCTAAGCCCTCGTCCCTCTCGAACGGCTAGTCCTGACCTGCCAGAGTCATCAGAGTCGCCAGAGTTGCCGCCGAGACTAAGTATTGAGGAGGACATTATGTCGCAAGCACAGGAAGCGTTAAATCTTCTTAATGAGGATGATAAAGTCTCGTCTATATCTAGCAATGCTAGAGAAGACGATAAAGAGAAGGGGGAGACGTCAATGCAAGCCCCTCCGTCGGCGCAACCTGGTTATCGATCGAATACTTCGCCGCATACCGCGGAGAATGACTTAAGCCTAACTGATACGGACTCTATTGAATCAGTATTTGAGATTGATAAACTTTTCTATGATATCGCCATAGAAATCTTTATTAAGAAGGTTAAGATCCTTAGTACGGAAGTATCATGTCGGGGTTTTGATATTGTCGACACACTCCTTGAGTATAAAGGTCAACTTGAGTATCAATATAACGACTACAATCGAAAGACTCATGAATTACGCCCCCCTGTCTTCGGGGGCGAGTTCACAATTAAACAAGGTAATAAAAAGCTTTATTCCTTGACTATGAAGACTCAGGAACACTTTGAGAAGGCCTGTCAAAAGTGGTGGGAGCTTCATCATGCTCGAAAAGATGGCCGTAAGAGTAGGACTGAACTTAGTGCGCATTTGGCACTAGTATACTCGATTGTTGAGAAGCCAAAACGACGTCGACCAACTAGTCGACATGGCTCATTTAGTGAGGACGTTTCGACATCGTCATTATCTCATGATGATGTCTCCTCAAGCCGTCATCTTGACTCGACCCAAACACGTCGCTATCGCAAGGAAAAGGCTAGGAATAAAAGGTCAAAGGGTAAGGTAATCTCCGCAACACAACAACAGCGAGAAGAAAAACAACTCCAGGCACAAAAAGAGGCCGCCGCCGGAGTAAGCTTCCTTGATATCTCAAAGAGACATTATTGCAAGTTAAAGAATTGCAAGAATTACTCTCGTCTATGCGTTGATCATGGAGGACAGCATTTTCCTCTATCCACGCCATTAGTTCAGCGTTGGAGCGATATGATTGCAAAGAAGGCTCCTGGTGTGACGGCTGACCAGGTGCCGGACGCGATCATGGTGGCCCTTCTCTCAGAACGGAACAGGAACGAGAAACGCTACGATGCTATGCATCAACCTCCGCCTATTTACCCGCCAAACTATATGCATCCGTTCGTGCTTAATATTGGAGGAATCCCGTCGACGAGTCACCTGGCACAACCTCCCGCACACGTCTATCAACCTCCGCCGTTGACAGCCGCCGCCGCCGCCGCCGTCACTGGGCCTCGATCAAGCCCTCCACAACGAGAGGGTGACGACGATCAGAACATGCAGGAGTACTTTAATTGGCTAGCGACTAAATATCCTATTCATGCGTCCAAGTTACTAGAGATTAAGCTCTCTGTTGCGGATCATGGATGGGGCTTCTCTGATCTACGAACATGTACAGATGAACATTGGAAGGCTATGACTGTTCCGGCTGGTTTTGTGACTAAAATCCGCAATAACCTCAAGGAATTTGCGCGTTTAGCTATAACAAGTGGAGACGGTTTCAATGATAGTACAAATGGACGTCCGGTGAGTGTTATATCGTCAGGGAATAGCAGTCAATGAGGGCTTGTTGCATAACTCGGTGTGGTGTTAGAATTATTTTGCGTGTTGCTATCTCACACTATACCTATTATGGCATATGGCTTAGCCAATTATAGTTAGCGTGATCACGTGGTAGCTATATTTGCATAACCTCAAGAATAGACAGATCAAGGTATATAGACTAGGCTTATTATTGCAGGATGAGATGCCTATAGCCCCTTCTTTTTTTATCTATTCTCTGCTAGTTACTATGCCTCATCAAATATAGCCGCATCTGCGGAAGTAATTATGAGCTGTCTCGGCCTCACAGACACTAGTCATTGCTAGATGAATGAAGGTATCAAAGCTATTCTCATAACAATAGCCTAGTTCTCTATTCTTTCGCATCCACTCCTTTAACTCGTGAAATGACATCTCAATTGGATTGAGCTCTGGAGTATATGGAGGTAAGTACTCAAGAATGACGCCCTGCTCCTCGCACATTCGCTTGACTCTATCGGATCGGTGGATAGTTGCATTGTCCATGATCAGAACGGAATGATCTCCTGGGAAGGGGTTCATCTTGTCAAGCACTCCTTGGAGAAATGTTTCGAATCGTTCGGCGTTAAAAGAGCCTTGATAGACCTCATAAGTGAGCCACCCGTCTGTTGTCATCGCAGGTAAAATGCTCCAACTGGTAGATCGGCCACCTGGTAGTTGCACTCGGCATGGAGTGTTGCGGGCCGACCAGCCAAACTTTCTATCCATAGTTCTATTGTTTGCGGCGCTTTCATCGAGTGTTACCAGCTGGTTACTGGTGTAATTGGCCATCTGTGCTATATAGGAAGCGACAAGTTCATCGTCTCGCCTGGTGTTAACTCTGGTTACCCGTTTGTACGTGACATTCATAGAGTTGAGTGCCCGGGAGACTGTTGATATATGAGCGTTGATACCAAACTCATCGCGGAGAAAATCGCAGCACTCATCCAGCCGCGCCGTCGGCCAATCTAGCATAAAATCACGAAGTCCTTCCATTGCGGCATGATGAATTGACTTTGGACGACCTTTAACAGGTGCTATATCATTTGTTTCGATGTCTTGATAGCGTAGATCCCGTCGAACTTTGGAAATATAGGCATTGGAAACCCCTTGAGCCTTTGCAATGGCTGTGCCTTTCACTCCTGCCCGAAGTGCAATTGACACGGCCACTTTTACCGCAGGATCAAACTTCGGCTGTGACGGCATCACAACCACGCCTTTTTATATAGTAAAATTTAGATACTTGGATAGAGAATTTGCTCCGGAGTAAGATTATCATATAATATTTATGAAATTATAGGGTGGTTGTTGAGAAATATGGCGTTGTGTTCTCACCGCTTTTATGATTGTTGAATGTTTTGCATGTTGCAAAAAAATAAGGTTTTTACGGAATTTTGCAAAGCACAATAATTGAATTCTGGGCGACGGGTAAAGCAACTCTACGGGAACGTCATTGGTTATCGAATCAATATTCTAACCTAATTACGATCTGGAGAAGTGTTCTTGGACGTGAAGGAATAAGAGCTTGATTGTCTACATATGCTGATCTACCGCTTTATGTGCTCGCAAGACACGCGTGTCATCTCGATCTACTTCTCTTCAGTCGCTAGTGATGGATATCCCCCTTGCCGAGCGCGTGCTGCCTCCATCTTTGGACGAGGCAACATTCGACAAAGCTCTGGATGCCATCATTGAAATCGTCGGCGAGGACAATGTATCACGCGACAGCTTAAAGGGGAACCTAGAAGGACCACAAGGTCAGACATGCTACGGAGATTTGTGGCCTTTGGCAGATGCTACAGATCATACTCCGAGTGCAGCCATTAGACCGGCCTCTGTGGAGGAGATTCAAGGAGTTCTCAAGATCGCCAACCATTACAAGATTCCATTGTGGACATTGTCACGTGGGAAAAATCTTGGGTAAGTCGCTATTCCGTTTTAGAGCATGCAGCAGGACTGCGGCGGCCTGGAAACCAGATCTGACCTTTGAGCACAGGTACGGAGCGAGTGGAGCTGTAGTTCGGGGTTCGGTGATCCTTGACCTACACCGGATGAACAAGATCATCGAGGTTAACGAAGAATATGCATACGCCATAGTCGAGCCAGGAGTTTCTTTTTTTGATCTCTACCACTACGTCCAGGAAAGGAATTATCGTCTTTGGCCGTCGTCGCCTGCGCTTGGCTGGGGCTCCGTCGTGGGCAATACTCTCGAACGAGGATTCGGATACACACCAGAAGGAGAGCACGCAGAGCAACAATGTGGTATGGAGCTGGTTTTGGCCAATGGCGAGGTGATTAGAACAGGTATGGGGGCGCTGAAGGGAAGCCCAATGTGGCCTCTGTATAAAGGGTAAGTCTTCATTTCTGGCTCACTCTCTACCCTACGTTCTTTGACACTCACGATGAACGCCATGCAGTGGCTACGGACCCAGCGTGGACGGGCTTTTTTTTCAATCGAATCTTGGTAAGAAGCAAGTTGTCAATGACCATGTATTAGCTGACAGCGTCAACCAGGAATCGTCACCAAAATTGGATTACACGTTACACCCGCGCCCGTGTGCTACATTGATTGCGAGGTCAGTGTGCCAAATGAAGAGGATCTCGCGGCTCTGGTCAAAGGGATCTCCTCTCTCGAAAGAGAAGGGGTTATCCAGAATCATACGTCCATCGCCAATCCATATCGGCAATCTTTCTCCTCAAAGGACGAAGACATTATGAAGCGGGTATTGAATCCTGGTATGCAGGGTAGTTACGCGACCAATGAAGACATGACGGCTCTCCAGCGTGAGCAGGGCTGGGGCTACTGGCGAGCCTACTTTGCCATTTACGGGGCTTCTGCTAAGGTCACTGACGCTCATTGGAGCACAGTCCAGGAGCGTCTTGGTGTGATCCCGGGCGTTACTTTCAAAGGTCAACGCCATGAGAGCAAAGATGGCGGCCGACTGAATGCTTCTCAAATGCCAAAGGGCGAGATTCCTCACAATGGGTTTCCCCGGATAGACGCCAAAGATTTCGTGAATGTGCGAGGGTTCGGTGGCGGGCATCTCGCCTTCGCGCCTCTCTTCCCACCTGGTGGAGCTGAATTACAAGAATGGTTCACAAAAGCTCTATCGACGGTGGAAAAGGCGAAGTTTGATCTATTTTCTGACTTTCACGTCTTTGGTCGCTACGTGATCGGCATTGTTCTCATCGTGTATGCACCAGCTGAAGGTGCCAGAGCGAAAACCTTGATGGAAGAGCTTCTCCGAGACGGAAAGGAGAAGTTCGGTATCTCTGAATACCGGACGCACATCGATTACATGGACGAAGTTCAGAGCCATTTTGACTTTGGTAATGGTTCTCTCGATCGCTTGATTACCGTCATCAAGCAGAGTTTGGACCCCAATGGTATCCTTTCACCGGGCAAATCTGGGATTTGGGCAAGGCCTCGGGAAACCAGAATCTAGACTGTTGTAGATCATCAGAGATCATTACATGCACATCACCAGGATCTATATTCGTAAAGTTGTGTGTAGCTCCGAGCTGTGGATGTCAATACCAATATGGGGCTCTAAATTTTACCAGACTCAATTTGATCCAATAATCCAACAGGTTTTGGTAACGAATTCACAAAGCTCCGGTTTCCGGCTCCTTAGATACGATAATGAGAGAATAATAATACTTGCAAACTTAACGTACCCGTCAAATTAACAGCGACTAAAGAATAATGTTTTATCCCGGCTGGGAACGCGTTTGAATATCTATCTGATTTGCTCTCATTAATACAAGGTGGTACACCTTGCCAGAGAATGAAAACTGAAGACACGATCATCTCACGCAGTATGAAGGATACTAATCAGTATCTCGACAAACGTTCCTTGATCCCCACTTCAAGAGACAATCTGTAAATTTTCAATAAGTTCTGACAGTCTCGAAGAGAGCCACTCCTCAGAGGCTTGTCGTCAATTTCAGTATTACTGTTAGACTCGGCCTTATTATCGAAAAAAGGCATTTTGACAATGCTGTTGCCCAGCTCTGAACACGACCACAAATCTGAGAGTAATGGAGCGGGTTGCTGTTGGGAATCTCCTATATCTCCCTCCCAAAGAAGCAGATGAATTTTACAATACATCGAGATCCGGTAGCGGTTCTGTTTGCTTTGGTAGCCATTCCGATTATAGTCTGGCGCCTACAAATATATACTGTTTCGGACTGTCACATTCATCAATTGGACCAGAATGGTCTCATATGACAATTGTACTGCCATTCAACCATTTGGCCGCTGCGTTGCGCCTGTGGACAGCCAAGATTCACAACCATCATATCCTGCTCATAATTCTTCCACCTGGCTCCGAAAGTCTGAGCTAACCGAAGGCTACGTCGACAACAGCAACGCTGATGGTTTTCTAGAGATACTTCAAGCCGTTCTTTATCCCCTATGTCACTTTCGGGGGTCCAGAAAGCTTTGAACCTATGCTCGATAGTGGCTGTTCAGTGGCAGGAAGAAGAAATACGTACCCGCCCTGACACTGGGACTGAGCAGCTCCTGAGAAACGTCTCCAGCGATTAACTCTGCCAAGGCGTCGACAAGGATTTCTTTGAGACCATTGGAGGGCTCAGGGTGACGCTGTTGTTTGCTAATCGAACGCCGGCGGAATTGTCGATGGATGATGGTAAAATCTGCGGCCAGGGCGTGACCATGGATTAACTGGCGTGACCAGCTTCGTCGATACTTGGGCCAATGTCTCCTTCACACAAAATACTCGTCGCGGAGACTTATGGTTGGGGCTCGTCATGGGAAGCTGTGCTACGCGCCTTGCTCCGCCTGGATCGATGGACCAAACTTGCGCTAGGGGATGGTTTCGAGACTGGCGCCGATGACAGAGATGACTTGCTAACACGATGCAGAGGTAAGGCTTTGGTTTTCAAGTTGCCTGACCGAAGCCACCGCGAATTCGCGAGGAGAATTTGGCGTTGGATGGTCCAAGTGATGGCCATGACGGACGATGCTGACTGGACGGCTGAAGTAAGATGGAGAGAGAAAGTAAGCATGAAGGACAGACAGAGAGAGACCGCGGGGGGATAGCCGTAATTACATCTTTCTCGTCCCTTTGCCCAGGCTCTGCCTCGACCAGCATCACTCCTTCCTGCAACAACGGATCCCAGCTAGCAACCTACGGTGGTTCCAGCCGTGGAGCAGTGGCACCGAATCAGCCCAACCACGGAACATTCCCTTTCTGCTGACCGACTTCTATATTGGGAGGCGGGTGACTGAGGACCCCGGTCTGTCTACACGCCTGCCTCAGATTCGCTCTTATCCCATCCTATCGGAAGGGCTTTTGCGCTCGGGTATTGTTACGACTCATTCCGTCTTGGCCAAGGTTGGGTCACTGTCATATGAGTGCGACTCTGAAAGACTGTCAGAATCGAAAGGATGCGCTGCTGGATCCTTCAACCAAACATGGGGACGCTGAGAGCATCTGCGTGTGATTGACCCAAGGTGGTGGGTAATCCGATCACGCACTTTCCCGAGCGTGACAAGGGCGAATGGCTGCTCCAAACTTGGATCGGCGAAGCTCATCGGTGTCCAACCGCAGAAAGAGCTCGTGACAATGAGACATGGGTCTACCCCTGGACTGATACGGGACCGCTGGGTCAAGGCAGCATGCCTGCTCTGGTACTCTACCGATCTCTCAAATTATAAAGTTCGTCCTCCCCTGTCATCATGGACACTTTTCTTCCCGTCTCATTCACGACTCTGACACAACAATCCTCCAAGATGGGCCCAGAACCCAGTCGTCCTTCGCAGCCAGTCAACTTGTCGATGATTTTGATTTCGACATTTCGGAGGAAAGCAGCGGAATTTTGGATTTGGCTTTGGATATCAGGGGAAAATTTGGCGTTCTCGTGAGACAGGCGCGACAGTGGAAGAGCGAATTACTCACCAAACAAGACGAAATCGTGGATCTCAACACTCAGCATCAGCAAGAGCTCTCACCCCTCCAACGACATACCGAGACCATCCGAAACAAGCTACGACGGCAGAACAACATCGTGCAGCAGTATCGAGAAGGCGATAGATTGCTGCGCCTCCGCTTTAAAGAGCTGAGCAATGATCTGGAAGCTAAAAGGGAAAGTTGGAACGGGTCAGCCATCTGCGATGTGATGTTTGCTTTGACAGCTTCAAAAATGTTGTGACCAAGTGTGGCCACGGGTTTTGCGAAGATTGCTTAGATCAGTGGCAACCAAGGGATGACGACGCTCCCCATGGACGCGATAAAACCTGCCCTACATGTAGGCAGATCATCAAAGAAGGTGGCATTCGGAAAATCTACCTCGAGCCGGAGAGCGCACCACCTACTGCGCCTGGAGATGACGACAGATCAACAGAGGTCCTCTCAATTGATAGCAGCAGTGAGTAAAGGAGTTTCAACGCTGGTGCACGGTGAATCTGGCACACATGCGCTTTGAATGCCATGAGTTGTAGCGGTGTTAAGTCGATCAGCTCTTTTTGGCTCGCGATGAATAAATTCCAGTTTGAACAATCCGTACCGCATATGGAGAAATCCTTCTTGATAACATGCTTTCAGCTGTGCGAACCAATCTTCAACCGGATTCAAGTCTGGTGAATATAGGGAATAATAAAGTAACTTCACACTTGCTTCGTCACATATCTTTTGAACTCGCGGCCCGCGGTGAAATGCCGCATTGTCCATTATAAGTACCGAGTGTTGTTCAGGCCTCTGCGACACTGCTGGAGGAGAAAATCCTCGAAGACAGCGCCGTCAGTGGTGCCCAGGTAGATGTGGGCATACAAAATTCCGCCACAAGTGAAGGTCGGCAATATATGATATCGTCAGCCTTGCTAAAATTGAGCGATCTGGACAGGTGTCACTGCCCGGCAGTCTTTATTTAGAGTCCTACCACCGCATCAAGTCCATGACACCAAAACCATACCGACCAGTACCTGTCGAGCAGCCCGGCCGGTGAGCTGGACTTACCTGTTCATGCTAAGATGCAGCTACTCAATTACTCCGGTCTCTCGATCACATTCAGGTGATGGTCAAGAATGTGGCTGATAGAAATATCGGACTGAATCGGGGTGAGACTCAGATCCAGCACACGTTCATTCAAACATCTTAGCCAAGATCTCGTCTTTGAGCCTTACCGGTGCGGACTCACGCACATATCGGTAGTGCTCCGTTAGCGCGTCGAAGAACTGGAGGCCGGAATAGAGATCGACATCCTTGCTACGATAGAAGGGCGAGCGCTTAATGACTTTCCAGCCGACGAAAATGACATCGGCAAGGGCAATGCTGCAGTAGTTGAAAATAAAAGTCGAGACATCCCATTTGCCTTTGAGAAAGACCGCATAGCTCTGGAGCCAGATGAAAAGGAACGACCAGCCGCAGGCTCACCAGCCGGCGTACGGCTGGTATTTTGACGCGCTCGGAAGGAAAGTCTTGCGATCAAGGCCTTGTGCCTTCATCGCAGAATTGAAGCGGATCCATGTGATGGACATAATCCACCAATTGAGGATGGTGGTGGCGGTTCTGAAGTTCAGTATCCAGTTAAGCACTTGGGGCTATCAAAGCCTAAAGCCAAGTAGGCGAGACATGCCAAAAGCATGACCACAATGAGGGCGAGGTATGAAACACCCTTTCGGTTCAGTCGGCGCAGCAACTTAGGTGCATGGTCCTCCAGCGCCAGAGAGTGCAGGCTTCGCGAAGCGTTGAAAGTGAAGGATTTGCCGGCGGAGATGATACTTGTGATGAGGCCCTCCCATACAAAAGCCAGCGACGTTGATGGCGTTGATGAACGACTCCAAGAGCCCGAATGAGCTGTCTCCCGCCCACACGCCTGGGTCTTTCCACTACCGGAAGCCGAAACGGTCTTGAATCGGGTTTCCTCCTAGCATGGTGACAAAGGTGTAAAACATGAGACCGATAGCGAGACGTCTATCTAGACGAATCATAGAACCGTCGAGAGGGAGAAGAGTGACGATCTCGATCTCTGTATGCCAAAGTCAGGATATATGATTCCAGGCTGCAAGACCATTCCGACGTACGACATTAAGCGACAGAGAAGATTACAGAAGCCCACAGTATAAAGGCAATAATCAGGGTGAGGGCCCCTGACAAAACGCCTTTACCGATGGCGACAACAGTCCACATGGCATGGCCCGATAAAGAGGCTATGAACGAGCAGAGTCACGACCGGGCCAATTTGTCAGGGTAAGAGCCTCGAACGACGCAGAGTCGGACATTTTCAAGACAAAAGAAACGCCGTCCAGAATCACGACGGCGAACATTCTCACACTTCGCCGCTGATCCGAGCTTCAACAAGCCTCTTCAGCTTCCCTCCCGGAAGACTGATTCCGGAAATCCAGCTACACCATCAGGTCATATATTTACAGTATCGTCTTTCCTCTGTCTGTTCTTCTTCGTCTCGTCAAAACACACCTCAGGCCCTCTTGCTTTACAAACCAGTAATCATGCAATGTCCACTCCGCATCAGGATCGGTAAGCTGAACATGATATCGTCGCAAAAGCTGAGGGACGAGCTTAGATATTTCCATCAACGAGATATTCTTTCCCAGACATGTCCTTGCACCCGCTCCGAACTAAAGCAACAAATTGTCAGTATCATCTACCTGTCGCCAAATCCCTCGCCCATAACATGGTGTCCAATAACTTACCGCAAGCCAATTCCGATCCATCAGCTTCAACGTCGCCTCACTGGCCTCAAGCCACAGTTCAGGTCGGAAACTATCAGCGTCCACACCGTAGACACAGGACAATCCTGAATCTTATATATTTTTCATTGCGCTCCTTCAAGTTCCTCCAGTCTAACGAAGGCTCAAAATTCAGTCTAGCTTGTGAGGTATGTCTATAGCTAGGCCGCAGGGAAAATTTCTTGGCTGTCAACCCAGGTACCGTGCAGCCCTGGTCGGAGCCGCAGCGGTAAATAGACTATTACTTGTGCCTGCGAGAAATTTGTGGTGTCAACAATATGCAGTTCGCTTGACATGGTTTCGTAGTTGTTGACCAGAAAAAGCAGACATCCAACTCCTTCTCGAGCATTAGCAGATCTTGGAATGAGGACGACTTCTTGCACCAGATGTTTTGGACCCGGGAAATACTCCACAGTTATAGGGGGAGGAAAGCCCCCGCCCATCACAGTGCCGATGGAGGGAAAGTCCGTTCCGTGAGCAGAATTCATAATGTCGAAGAAAGCATGTCGATAATGCGTCATAGCAAAACGGTCGTCAATGCGGCTGAACTCGCAGTCTTTATCCATAAGGAATTCGTCATATGTGAGATCAAGCTCCGTTGATTTTGGGTCGATACCGAACCGCACCAATTGTGCTCTGATATCCATCGGGTTCGGAGCGTTTCCTTGAGCGTCTGGCCACCAGAAGACATTTTTGTTTGTCAGAGGCAAAACAAATAGAATCTTGCCATCTTTTGTCTCGTAAGCATTCGAGGTATGTCCGGAAAATGCATTGGGCGCACGGAACCACTATGCTGTGTTCAGCTTCCGTCGAAACCGCAGGGAACACGTAGAGGGATCCGACTTACTCGAATATCTGATTCTCGCCGCGGCGAGGAAGAACTCCAATATAGAAAGGAATATCAGGATTCCATAGGCAATTCCTCCCCCCTCCTCCCCCCCCCGCAACCCTGGGGTCCATCCTATCTAGATTGCACGTTTATGGTATGATGGGGAAGATGACATATTTTTCACTCACTGCAAAGTCGTGGATCATGGCACACACGGGCGCAACCAACCATACTGTTTCTGTGAATTTGCTATCGGCGGCGGAAGTGTATTAACATATATCCGGTGTACCCTCTCCCTTCGCCTCGTAACCAAAGCAGACGAGTTCCTTAATGGCAGGGTCAATCTTTGGGTGTGCTGTGAAGGTAAAACTTGGAAGCTGTCCGTCAAAGTCCTCCAAATCGATAGTCTCTAGTGTATCCGGGTTCATGGAGTACGGAGGGGAATCCTCCTTGCAAGCAAGAAGTTTGCCATTGAAGAAAACGACATTCGTGTTGGCAGTGCTGCGTATCTTTAATTGCACAGCGTCTGTGAATTTGTTTCGATAAGCGCCTGTGGGAAAATAGTAAGATTAGCCGATCAGCTCCTCGAAATGGTCAGAATGTCCAGAAAGCGTACCCATCAATGTGCGTTCGGCTTCTCTCTCGCGAACAAACTTCTCGGTCCGAACTAATCGCTCTTTGAAATGGACTCTTCCTCTGTGGACGCAAAATTTACTGGCATTGCCGTCGCCATTGAACTACTATTACACACAGTCAACCAGACTTGGATTCCGCCTTGGGGAATACTGTTCCTCGTACAGGGTCCTTCTCTATGAAAGGTGGTGCTTGAGGATCATGCATCACTCCGAAAAAGGCCCCATCGATACTAGTAGGTATTTGTCCATTTACTTCCAGATTCGAGACCTCGCCCTCAAATCTACAGGGTTTCATGAACCCAGAAAATTGAGGGCCATCGGGAAAGGTTTACTTGACAGCCAAATCCAGCAGCCGATGGCCTGACATGGTGAATCTGTTTGAGTCGAACAATGGAGCGTCGAAGGTCACTGTAGAAAAGTTCTCCCTTTCTGCTCAGTCTGCCAAATCAACTACTCGCTCTGATATTTCCTCAGATTTTATCTCTCATGAATCGAAGCGACTGCGTAGCCTTATCCGACCACTCCCCGGGAGAAGATTATATGAACATATTCTCAAAAACTACCGTTGAAACTACCGGCTGAGATCGTCTGCGGGGTGCAATTTTATATGGATCTGAATTCGATACTGTCTTCCAGATTTCCAGACCCAGTTCGCCAGTGTTACCTCACACACGTCCACCGAATTGTTCGGGGAAAGATCGGGGTCGAAACTCTTAACCCACAGCTGTCTCGCGACGAACTCTATAACTTCTTCTCGATTGTTTACAATGCCAGTCATTCTGCATGTTGCACATCCTACTTCAGCCTTGTCCATGTCGCTACTACCATGGCTTGCATGGCCATCATAGCGGCACTGCTCGCAGTCTCATAGCTTGGACCGCTGTCACCAAAGTTTATGACTTCTTGAGATATCCTTCGGCCCCCGGGCCTAAGATCGTCCCCATAACCCGTCTCTGGTATGCTATGCGCGTATGGGATGGTCATTTTGAGGATTGGAACATCAAGTCTCATGCTCGCTATGGTAAGATTTGACTGGAAGGAGCAGTATTATGAGCGTGAGCTCATACTTCGCAGGCAAGATGCTCTGCATAGGGCCGAGACTGTACAGCATCGACGATCTTGAAGCCATCAAAATCATCTGCCAAAGCCAGGGGGACAGTTCGCCGGCCCCTTAGCCAACCACGACAGAGCTTTGAACAGCAGCCGCCCGAGAGGACATGCGATTTGTTCGCATGCCGAGACCTGCTTCCACGCAGGAAGGTCTTGGGGCCAAATCGTAGATATACAGTAGTCCACCCTCTGGGTTATCGCAGAAGCGATGCCGAAAGCAGGGGCCCTGTCTTCCCGAGCGGTGTCCACCTAGCCCGATACTTTTACAGGACCAGGATAGTAGCAGAGACCTTGGCTATACAGTATATTGTGCCCACCCCGTCAGCCATACCCGTGACATGTGTATTTTACATTTCGTTTCGATGGCCGATCGGCAGAGTTGTACGTAGTCGTAAATGGTCATCTGCGGCGTCCCATCTAAGCATGGTATGGGTGGATTGCATGTCAAAGCCATCGCGTTGCTCACCATTGGGATCCTTTCGCTAACCAATGAGTCACGTCGAGGTTGTAGCCAGACATAATCCACGCTGGTCGTCAGTATTCAGGCCGGGACACAAATGGTCGGAGGGTGCCTGTTGCTTGGGTTCAAACAAAGCCAGAGCAGACACTATCCGGAGGAATGTCTCCCACCCCCTTCTCAATTGAGATTCTGAAAGGCCCCTTGATGGTCTCTTGCCTGCTAGTCCTCGTAAGAGTCCATGTGCAAAAAGACCACCTCTGGACCAGTGTCATGCAACCCTTGTCTGATTCGCCCTAGCGATGTTGACTGAGGTTACTCATCAAGACTTTCCGTTATGTTTCTTCACACGATGCATTCAATGGCTTACCCTCGCGTCTCGACGCTCACGGTTGAGTCAAATCTCTCCGTGAGCAGATTGACCATGCCAATCTCACACCAGCTTCAGATCTTCTATCTTGACGATATAGCACTTTGACACGACTCACATTGCATCTCCTCGTTCAGATCCAGGAGTACGGAATATGCTGACGGTTTTGCTGTAACTCAATAGTCCCAGCCACATAAGGCCGCTGCAATAGAAGTTTTGGGACTATTTGCTCTTATTCCATTCCCGTGCCATTTTCTCACTTTTTCTTCTCTTTTCCTCAATGTCGGCCTCTGTCTGGCGAACTCCAGCAAATTCTATCGGCGGGAATGTCGTCCAAAATCGACATGGCTCACTCGGACAAACAATCGACCTGGGGACTCAACCAGAGACAATTATTGCCCAGGAAGACTATCTCAGCGGGAACATCATCCGAAGCTGCTATCAGGAGTCGGATCGGGATCAGTTCGAGGGAGGCGTATGTTAGTAATGGAAAAGGTAAAATGTCCCCACCATCATCCTTGATCAACCACTCCATACTGCGTTGGGGGGTGGGGGGGTTCTGATATCATCTGGGTCCACCAGCTCCCCTTTCACAGCCGCCTCGCTCACAGTCAACCAATAGTACTCCCCAGTAGGCTCATATCGCTTCGGACAGACACCTAAGTTATACAGTGTCCATTCGCCCCGTAATTCACCGCCGGAGGCTTCTCTGCTTGTGGATCATCGAAGAACATCTTGAGTCGTGTAGCGGCTGAGTCTACAGCTTGGATCTTGCCCTTGATGTATTTGACGACTTTATCTCTCTCATCTCCATTGTACCAAAGCTCAGAATATTTGAGCGATGATTATAATCATCGGAAGCCGTACCATCACTCCAAGAATCGCTCATTCCAGCCTCCTCATCACTGAGACCTTCGTTATCCTCCACGTCGGCCCTTGGGTTGCACTGACCACAGAATCGTGCTGGATGTTCCTTCATACAATAATACCTGTCGCGCCGTTCATCCAACTGGTACTTCGTGAGTCCTTGTTCGACGAGTGCTCTGGTTCGTTCCAACTTGTAAGCCTCTCGCTGTTTCCTGGCTTCTGCTTGTTTCTTGATCCGCCCATGCGCCCTTGAATCTTCCACCAACCACGCCCGCTTACGCTTTTGCGGCATCTTGTATCCGGCTGAAGGGTTTCTGAAAGAAGAGAAGTAGGGGTAGTGGAAGATAGGTTTTGTTTCTGTGAAGCGCCGTCAAAGCTCCTATTGAGTTGTGCTTTGTAGATACGGCATTGAGTCGATTGAAGGACGTTCTCTCGCGATTGATCAAGGTAAGAATGTGAAACGCTCAGCCAGAAGCTCTTCCACCGTTCCTCTACTTTGTGAGAGTTGGCTTCGGGATTAATTTAGCTTCCTCAAGTCATGGGCAGCATTGAAGGAAAAGAAGTGTAAAGTACATCGCTTTGGGCCGCGGAGACCCTTTGTCGTCTTTTGAAATCACTTTTCCGAGGCTACGCAAATCCAAATATCAACAAGCTCTACAACGAATCTACAGACACAAAACGGCCAAGCTTTTCCCCGTAGAATGGATGACACGATTACTCCGTACAATCTTTCACGTTGTCGTCTGTGCGTGAGTTGATGTCCCTGCGTTTTCGAGGCAATCATGAGATTAGCGCAACAGAATCAGCAATGGCGATGAGATTCTTGTCCTTACTCATCAACTTTCTGCACCAAATCTATTCAGAACTCCTCGTTCCATCACAACGTATCGTGCTCGTAGCCGGTTATGGGCCCTCATGCCCCCGTCTTTTTCGGTCTCGCAATGACGGTCTGTGTGAGGCCCTTCTCTGCGTCAACAAAAGGTTGTATGAAGAAACCAGAGAATTACTTTACTCCTATAACTGCTTTAACTCGATCACTCATTGCCCCATTCATCGACAAAATCGGATCTTAAGCTAGTATCCTTCGCCACATCTGTTTCGACCTTTCCTGTCCTGCACGAAGACACCTGGAATTGATCGAGGATTCACGACGCCCACATCGAAGTCCTGGATCTAAGGTCTAGATCTAACTCGGGAAACCTGCAAGGGCTTGACTTTGATCGAGCTGTTACCAGGAATAACAATTTCCTCGTCCAGCGTGCAGCCCTATTTACCGGGAGTTATATTCTCCTCGTCCGGCGAGCTCCAGGTGAACCCGCATTCGTTTGGCTCGCGCTTGGTTGGAAATTAGATGCGGCAGTTAGACCGTACCTCATTGTCATGGTTCTGGTCTGAGCGTTGGAAGAGCAGCGAGTACTGTAATAGCTTTGTACATTATGCAAGGAAATGCTGTTCGTAGTACGCCGGGTTGTACAACTTAGCGACCAGTTTCTTCCCGTCCGTTTAAGGAGTAAGTGTAGACCAGGCAGATGCGGGTTACTGTCATCTAGCAATCAACGAAAAAGCCGCCTCCCAACGCACAGAGGATTGTTGTGAATTACAGTAGTGGAAGCATGTGTTCTTATTTCTCCTTCTACTTCCTAAGGAAGTAGAAGGATATCTACATCGAAGTGACATACTAGAAGCTTCCCTGCGATTTACGAGCATGCGGAATGATTCCATAAGACTATCAGACATTATGATAGTTGGTTGAGCCTCATATCACAAGATCAGTGACACCGTCCCTCCTCTACTTGCCACTTGCCAAGAAACCCATACGTGTAGTGACACCTGTGGTGGAGCGAAACGTAACACGCAATATAGAGTAGATTAATCAATACCTTTTAGATCTTCCCACTAAGCCTCCCTGTCTGAAAACTTTAGTATTTCGAGAAGTTGATAACCGCTCTCCTGCTAATCTATGTCTTCGCCATCCTCCACCGAGACCGCTGTGCTCGTGGGCCGTCGATCTACTTATATAACACACCACCAATTAGATACAACACCTAAAAAGAGATTACGATTAGACGATGCCTAACGCCTTACGGACTTCTCGTCGAAGAGGCTTTAAAAATTATTGTTTGAAGGGGTCTGATTGGATCATTTTAGGCTAGTCGTCGCTTAGGCGCATCTCCCAAAGATATATTGACTTGACTTTTTCAACTTGACTATCTAGGGAGTGGACGGTTCTTGCATAGACTATAGTCTAGTATCTAGAACCTTGTTCTTGCTGCTACGTTTCGCTCTACCTGAGGTGTCACAGCACGTAAGGGTTTCTAGACACGAGCTCTACAGGGAATTACCAAGGTGCTAGGCCTTGGCCTTGGCCTTTATGCTTTTCTATCTTCCGGGACATTGATATTCATTGGTACTTCGCTGTCCCCCGTATCCGGTTATTTGCACTGCGGCGGGCACAAGCTGAGGAGTTCAAGCCACAGAGAATGCCTTCTGACCAGTCACACTTTGCTAAACAAGTTGATCAAGCTACTCTAGGCAAGCATACTCTCGTTGAATAAATGTAAAGCCCGTGTCCTTACACAGCTACTGACGGGGAAATGTCATATTTTTAGGAAATAGCTTGTGAGAGCACGATCTTCCTCGGCTTTGGCCTGCCCGGATGTAAGTCTTGCCGGGTTCTGTTATTCGGAAGTATTTAATATGGAACCAGAACTCCACGGCTCAGACGGGATTGCTTAGCGTTCATGCCCCGCATTCTCCGCATAATGGTACCCTAGCCGTCCCCAGCACCCGGAAGGCTGTGAAAGAGCCGTTGCGTCGGCTAATCTCAGCTTGCGCGCTCGGAGACTCGGATCGTCATTCTTCTTCTTGGTGGGCTCTCTCTTTTTAAATCCTTCTACGAACCAGCTTTTGTCTATCAGGTGTCGATTATTCTGTCCGAACCCGGATGCTAACGATGCATACGACCATGGGTCCGAGCAATCTTAATTAAGCGATGGAAGGGCTCAGCCACCACCAGGCCAAGATGCACCGAAGAGTTGCTGTGGCTTGTGATGATTGTCGCAGCAAGAAGATGAAGTGTGATGGGATTCGACCAGGTAGATCTTGCATCAGAGGAATCTTGACTCGCTCTTGCTGACAAGATCACATCACGACAGTCTGCTCTCCCTGTCGCAAGAAAGGCAGGTCCCAAGGCGGATGTACCTGGGGTGTACGAAAGAGACGAGGTGCTGGTGTGTCCCAAGTGGCGTTGAACCAACTTAGGCGACGTATTGATGAACTCGAAGGACGGTCCAACGATGCCTTCTTGCAAGATCCGAAGCAGGCTGCAAGGACGGGCACCTCGCCCCGTTCACTTGCCCTACATGTTCCCTCAGGCGTTGACGATGATGGAGATTGTACTGACGATCACATGACATTGATGGGTATGATCGACAACGAGCATCAGAGCCCTTCGCGTACATGTGGTGGCGACTCAAGCGCCAAGACATTTGTGCGGCAGATCAAGCACCTGTTAAATGTTCAATCGTCTTCTGCCCGTCCCAGCCTCCAGCGACCATCAGAAAAGACTTCTGCTCGACAGTCGCAGACCGAACTCTGGCCATCCAACAAACAGGTCCGACAGTTTCAAAATTATGTTCTCCCTTCACGACAACGAGCCGACTATCTTCTCGCCACATACAGGAGACTATATGTGTATCCCATATTAGATTGGGAAGAGGTGGAACGTCTCTACCAACGTTTGTGGACCGGCGAGGACCTGGGTGAGGATGGACGCACGTTTCTCTGTTTGATAAACGTCGTCTTCAGCATTGCCTGCATAATGGATCAGGCCGCCGTACCGACCGAACGAACGAAGAACGCAGACGTGTATTACCAACGCGCTCGGGAGACCCTCGACCTGAGGGTCCTTCAAAGCCATTCGTTAATTGCGGTACAATGCTTTCTCCTGTTGGGACACTATCTTCAAAGCACGAATGATCCTCAGGAATGTTGGATGTTCATCGGCCTAGCTGTTCGGCACGCGCAGAGTCTAGGGCTTGATTTGCCCTCAACTAGCGCGGATGCATCTACTGAGCAACAACGGGAGGTACTGCGACGAGTCTGGCACAGCTGTGTGTTCATAGATCGATCGGTGTCCATGACCCTCGGGAGACCAGCAATGATCACTCCTCAAGCGGCAGCTTCAGTTCCTCATCCTTCTGCGCATTCGGGCTCAAACACATGTCGCTGCTACATTGAACCGTGCAAGACATCGGAGAGAGAAACCTGCCAAGATTCATTGCACTTCTTCATCGAGGCCTTAAAATTATACGAGGTCATGAACGAGATTTGGCTCACCCTCTACAACCATGCCAACACTTCTCCAGAAACATCGCGCGATGACGATGCTTTTACCCCGTATTTTGGAAGTTTGGGAGCAAAAGCCGTTGGTGTCATAATGGAAATGGACAACAGCCTCTGGTCTTTGAGTCGTGGTCTGCCCCATCACTTACGCCATGAACTTGGACCAGCAAAAAAGTCAATAAAGCATCAACGTCAGACAAATATACTCTTTCTTAGGCATCGACATATTCGACTCCTGCTCTTCCGACCTGTGTTGGCGAAATTTTGTTGTTCCTTCGGAGGAAGCAAACCGTCATTTGATAAAAAACTGCCATGGAAAATCGCCCTACAATGCTCCGTCTCATGTGTCGAGATCGCATTGGAAACGATTGACTTCATTGAAGCCACGATCGCTGGCAAGGAGCTTGGCGAGTTCGAAGCTCTCTTGCCCGGCTGGTGGTTCAGCGTCTTCTTCATCTATACTGCTGCGGCTGTACTGATTACCGCTCGGCTGCATCCCAGCATCATGGTTGAAGTATCGGAAAAAGTAGTCATGGGTGGCTGGCACAGGGTCATGAATATGCTGAATGAATTTTCAAGTCTCAGCAAGCATGCAGCGAGGTGTGCCGCTTCTTTGGATATTCTTTTTGAGCAAGTGCCGCAGCACCGTCAAGAGATCCAGCAACTGCGAGATGACCAAAGACGCAGACGGACAGGGCACGATCAGGAGACTGAATGGGGTCAGCAGGAGGCGTGCATACTGGTAAACCAGGGAGAGGACAATCCTTCGGCTGCGACTGAATCTGTGTATTTTGACCCTCAACTCGTTTTCAATACTCAAGGAAGCAATTTACAAAACTGGGAATTCAACAGGAATCCCTCCAATTTGGATATGGCGGACTACGAAGCTGCCATAGACGACGACAATGCGTCGGCTCTTGACCTCTTCAATCCCTCAGAGCTCCAATTGGGCTTGGACAGCATGTCATGGCTTACGGCTCTCCCGGGTCAATTGTATTGAAATTCCTCTTTCTAGAACCCCGACAAGACAAGTGCTGATTTAATGAGATTCTTATGCTTGGTCGAAACGGACAATAGAAGTTCCTCTCTACTATTACCCCGACCGTTCCATTCCGATCCAAGGAGGTCATTGAAACGTATATGTTACGGTATTTTTAGCTGACTTCTGGCAATCGTTCAATTAATTTCTTTTCCTCCCGCTGCCACACTTATTGCTTCTCTATGGGATCTTTTTTCTACCTTGATCTTTAAAATGTTTTCGGCATTCTGATACGCAATCCTCTCCAGCGTTTGATCATCGAACATACCGCTATCCTTCAAATCCCTCAAGAACTGCAACCCGCCACTCATTCTTCCCGAAAGGATGCTGCATTCGATACTGAAAAGAGCTCTGTCCGATTGACATTGTCTCAACAAGGTCACCAGCTGCGCCAGCGCAATGATTCCAGTGGTGGTGAGCCAGATATTCTCGTCTCGGACCCGCTTCAGTTGCTTTTTTGGCTTGACATCTGCGATAGTCCACTGTAAATGAGACGTAATACGAATGACACGATTAGTTTGATGGGGGAGCATTTATCTCTCCAGGTACCTGTTCACGCGTCTTCACGCTTGCGTAGGTAATTCCTCCTACAGAGTCGCTCCCCTTGGCCCAGCCTTACACACCGGTCAGCATCCCTCTCTGATATCCCTCTGAGTGGATGAAGTTCTTGTACAAGGAGGATATCGACCTCGGCTCATTGTCTGGGCCAAATCACTGGAGATGCCGAGGCACTTATTGGGGTGTGGTGAGCAATTGATGATCAGAAATGTCATTACGGTCATTCATCGCCCTGTCAAGGAATAGTCGGAGCCTTCCCTTCGTTCAAACCCCCCGAAGCTGTTCCGGAATGACCTGCGGCTTTTTAAGTAGAGTCTGGAGGGCGAATAGGGGGCTGCAGCTCATGGAGAACAACAAGCCTGAGCCTCGTATTCAGGTGAAATGGGGTGACTTGTAGGGTCAAATCATGAAATCGGCTTTTTTACAGGCTCTCATCAGCAAGAGCAATGGTAACATCAATGTCATGCATATTTCGAAGCCGCTTGTTTGTGCGTCTAGGTCACCATGGGTCACGTATCCAAATACCTCGTTTGTGCAGTCATCCATCGCCTACAACGGCATTCACACTTGAGAGCTCCATATATCTATTTACTCGTTCAACCAGGCAAAACCGTCCTCCATAAACTTCGTGGCAGTTTCGGGCTGGTCGATACCTGGGAGATCCTTGTTCACGATGTTTCCCTTGGACTCCACCATCCAGCTCAGGTATTTGTAGCTTTCGCGGTAGCCGCGCTCCTTGCATTTCTGTGCGATCTTTTCGGCATAACCACTGTTAACGATTTTCGCGCAAATCGGGTCAGTCAAGATCATTCCATCGCGAGTGTAGACGCATTCAAAGGTCAGCATCTTCCATGGCCCGTTGCCGTTGACGCGTTCGACTCTCGACACGAAGCGACACTCCGAGGTCATTTCGTACCATGCCCCAGAGTCGGGATCGCGTAGTCGAGCCTTGATTGCGCCGTTCGATTCCGTGAGAGCCTTTGTCAGGGCAATGTTGAAATAGATCTCGACGACGGAGATAGTGTGGAAAGTGGGCGACTGCGATCGCTGGCCCAGCTGCTCCGACAGAGATACAAATGAGTCCGCGTCGCCCTTGTGCCTGAATGATCGAGTGAACGGTTAGAAACCCTCCGGGAAGTCCAACAAAGGAAGCGAGGGGAACAAAGGGGAATACGGACCATGAGATGTCGATCATAGTCTTTGAGGGATCAGGATGGTAACTTTCACGGAGCCTTTGCCACTGACGCGTGTCGCGGTAGTATCTCTCTCGAGCCAAGAGAGATCGAATCTCGGATTCACTCTTGAGTCGCGAGGGCGCATCTTGGTCAGGTAATGTCCAGGTCATGCTCACAGAGGGTCTGCGGGGAAGATGGCTGATAAACAAAGGGGGACTGGGAGTAATCTCAAGGTCTACCGGGTTCTGGGAACTGCAACGTTGCAAAGGGGGAGGCTGCTTGAATTTATCTTCGCGGACTGAGTAGATGTAGTACTTGAGCGGAAGAAATGGCCCTGACCAGGACTATTTGCTGTCGACCTGGACCCTGGACTTGAAAGGCAGCTACCTCGTCCGTTTTCAGAGACCACCATTTGTGACAACTGTATAGAAACCCATCGCTTAGACTATTCCGGGGTGGGGCGTCACACACAAACCCACCGCTCGGAATCAAATCGAGCCGTATACGACTTAAGTAAATCGGATCCAAAGTGTGCCGGCACTCTGCTGGTCTTTTTCGCTTGCCCCGTAGAAAGTTGAAATCTGGGGTGACTTAAAACGGCGCATACGAGTTGGTCGGCACCTAAGCTGACGAGCGATACGTGGAAGTACCAAGGTGCTCGGCCTTGGTCCTCAAGTTGGTCTTTTCGTCCTTCTTTCCTAGCTTCTGGGGCTACACGACGTTTATTGTACCTCGGTTGGCTGTATTAGGCGTGTCGGCGATTGCTCTAGCTTACGGATGCAGATATTTTCACTTCGGACACCGGGAGAGTTTGTGATGACCCATCGTTCACGGCCTTGAAGCTAGCAGGAGGAAGTTAGGCATTTCGGAAACCACGCGGGAAATTAGAGGAGTGCACAGCCGTATCCGCAAGCTGGAGACTTTTCCAAGTTCGACTGGAGGCTTTAATTGCGTGGCCTAAATGTGGCTTGGACAATGTATAGGGACGAAAGGGACATGGTGGTTCGTGAAGACGACCGAGGAATCTGACTCCTGGAAGCCTTGTGCAGTGTTTATTGGACAACTTCGACGGAACGCACGTAACCGCGGTCTTATCAGGAGTTCTCACTATCGCCTTAACCAAAATCAATGTCCGTAAGCAAGGCCTCCTTTTTCTGATGGAAGCTGTCTTGAATGAATCATACGACGATTTCTGTCATGAGATCTGCAGGCCACTTTGCTTTATCCCGCCCGTTCCCCCTAACTCCAACGTTGTAGCCCAATTTTACTTCTCCGTCAGGAAAGTAAATGGCGGGTTTGACGCAATGGACATCCACCCCAAGGATGCCGCTGTGCCGGATTTCGAAAAAGTCTTCCCGTATAGCGCCCTTCTCGCGGAGGAACCTGAGCGTCCTCGTCGCGGTCTTCTCCATGCCGTGCTGGGCTCGAAATCCAAGTCCGCCAGTGCTTTCCAAAAGCTCTTTCCACACGTCGTTCGGGTAGGCGCCACAATCGCGGGCGAGAAATTGGTTGTAATAGTTCAGGGCCAGGTCCACTTGGTAGCTCCCACCCTTTTCACCTCGTTGAATGAGCGCAGAGATGATGGCGATGGCACCCACCAGGCCCGTCGAGTAGTCCGCAGCCGGGAACATGGGAGAAACTGGTTCGTCGTCGGCGAGTCCGAGCGCCTGGCCATACCCATGAGAGATGCCCGTGTAGGCATCCGAGACGGGTTGCCAGCCCGGCCGATGGCTAGATGGTCCATACCATCCATAGCAATTCAGCCGGACGGACACAATACCTCGGTCGCGATGACCCAGCATGTCGATGATGTCGGTGAACGAGAAGCCGAACTTGTCCAGCGCGCCTGGGCGATAGCCGTTGATCACGACATCGGCCTCTAACACAAGATCCCGCAGGGTTCGACGTCCCTCGGCGGTCGTAAGGTCCACGTACGCACACCATTTCCCCCAGTTCAGGTCGAGATGCAGGGAGGGTATGTCTGGAATATCCGGGGAATTGATGTGGATGACAGAAGCTCCAAGCTCGGCCAGACAACGGCACACCGACGGTCCTGCAATGATCCGTGCTAACTCAATGATCTTCAGACCCGGCAATGGTCGTGCAACCGACGTCTGTTGTGTTGACGGCCACCACGATGGCTGCTGAAACTTGGAGGGGACATGTCTCAATTCGAAGAGGCCGACATGAGCGTTTGCCTGGCCCTGTTCAGATCGTGCATATTCGTCGAAACTGTTGCATATGTCCCCGCATTCGCCAGCGTCAGCGATCATGCCACGCACCTGGCTGGACGGGAGCTTTGATAGTTTTTCCCTGTAAATCGCCTGGGCTTCCTCGGCCGAGGCTGCTAGGTGATCATGTAGAAGGCCGAGCACGTCCAGGACACCATCTGGGTTCAAAGAACCGTGGAGTTTAAACCATCTCCCATCTGCGCATTTGTAGATGCACGAGCTGGCCGCACGGTATGGGGTGGCCGATCTCTCGAACCTGTCAGTGTTGACAATGTACTTCGTAAGCTTCGTAGGATCATGGGTCGCGTCGACATTTGCCCCTGCGGGTCCACAGTCCACAGGAACATGGACATCGGGAAGAGCAGTGTGTGGTCCCTGGAGAGAAGTTAGTAAGCACGGCCAAACTGACCAGGCAAGACGAGCTGCCTCACGTGTTAATCTCTATCTTGGCGGATGCGACGCTGTACCTTTTCTCTAAAAGCACGTTGACCAGCGCAGCCTCAAGTGCGTGAAGCGCAGCCAAAGACTCGCCAACCCTCCAATTCATTGGTAAGCTTGTTTTGTCACTTCCCACGAAGCGCACTTTCTTCGCCATTCGGCCAACCTCTGATGGTAGTAGTGAGAAAATCGAAGGATGGCCTAAGAGCTTCTTATTGAAGAGTAGTTCAGCTTCGCGAGGGACCGAGTACCCGCTCGACCGGGCGTCTCCAGCACAGTGGACGGGATCAGTATGCAGACAAGACATGTTCTGGCAAGGACAGCTGGGTTGACCTTAATAAGCCGATCTCCAAAGTCGTCACAGTTGCAGAAAGGAAAGGAAGAGAAGGAGCATAAAACGCGACGGCCATGATGATGATAACTTCTTCTCTGAAAGTGCCTGGCCGAGACAGCCGGTCATACAAATCGACCATACACACTATCGGATGAACTACTTTATCTTGTCTTGCTCATAAAATTAGCTAATTGCTCACCGGGGATGCGGTATGGCCCCCCACACCGAAAGTTCCAGCCGAGGCGGGCAGTACATCTCCGCGTCCAATGAGGCAAAAGCGCCTCGAGACGGGGTGGACAAGTTGAAGAACAAGTGTTAATCCAGAGCACTGTTCGACAATTCCAGACCTTCCAATACCACCAAAGTTTATCAAGCCCGGATGAAAAAGCTTCCGTGGGTGGAGGTATTCCATATTTGCCGACGTATCCGGAGTGTCCCCGTGATCTCCAGGAAAATACAAGGCCCCTGGACCCCAGTTACAAATATCGCCAGCGTCGGCAACGTTCAAGACCAGTGTTATTGAGTACTTTGGTCGTTAAATCACCCAGATATTCCTGTCTTCACTCCTAAATACTCTCTTCTTCAGCTCTGCAGAGTGTCGAGGACCTCCCTCGTGCACATGTCATCCACCAACACAACCATCAATATGAAGGATGAAAAAGTGGCTCTTGAAAACTTGGGAGACGTGGAAGACGGCGAGTCCGTTAGCAACCGAACCCATATCGTAAAGCTCGAAAAACAGGTGGTGAGGAGGTTGGACATCGTTGTCATGCCCACGGTGATCGTCCTGTATCTTCTCGCATATATCGATCGTGCCAACATTGGAAATGCACGACTGGTACGATGCCCTCTCGAGACTTTCTCCCGATACTTGCTGACGTGTGTTCATGTAGGCTGGTCTTCAAAAAGACCTCCACATGACCGATTTACAGTACAAGACGGGTGAGCGTCCACGCCGCGACGCCTCTCACGCTTGTTCGCTAACTCCCCATTTTCAGCGGTGACGGTGACTTATATTCCGTTAATGTTGGTCGACATCCCGACCAACTTGCTCCTTAAGAAGATCGGTGCCGGAAAAATGTTGCCGATCCTGTCCATCACCTGGGGCCTGATCACCTTGTTGCAATCTCAGGTTACCAGCTTCGGCGGCCTCGTCACGGTTCGCTTCTTTCTGGGGCTCGTGGAAGGTGGTCTGTTTCCGGGCATGCTGTTATACCTCTCGTCTTTCTATTGTCGTGCAGAGCTACAAGTCCGGATAACGCTCTTCTTCGCTGCAGTCATCTTGAGCGGCGCCTTCTCTGGCCTCTTGGCCGCCGCAATCCAGCAGATGGATGGACTGCGTGGGCTCCGTGGCTGGCAGTGGATCTTCCTGTTGGAAGGCCTGCTCACTATTTGCTGCGGCATGGTGGGAATTTTTGTCCTGCCAAGCACTCCATCCAAGGTGCTCACGTTCAAAAAGGAACATGTCGACTATTGCCATCACCGTTTGGAGCTGGATTCAAACCTTTTCGACAAGGAGCACATCACCGTGAAGGCGGTTCTTTCGATATTCAAGGACTCCAACTTTCTGATCGCCCTGCCTTTCTACTTCGCCTCTGGTTCCCTGGGTCTGGGTCTTTCAGTCTTCCTGCCAACCATTGTTGCCGCTCTCGGATACAGCTCGACCAACACACAGCTGTTGACCGTCCCACCATACACGATGGCATTCATTGCCGCTGTCATCACCTCATTTATATCGGACCGCTATCGCCAACGTGGCCTGTCCGCCTTCACCGCTGGTCTCGTGGCGCTCGCCGGCGGGGTGATCCTCTACTGCGGCCGGGGCTTTGGAGTTCGCTACACCGGTACCTGCCTCCTTGTCATAGGCACATACACTTTTGCGCCGTGCACGCTCGCTTGGTTGCCTAACAACATCGCCGGCCATGCACGGCGCGCCACGGCGCTGGCTACATTGGCCATGCTAACCTCTGCAGGTGGCCTGGCCAGCACGTGGATTTATCCCACTAGCTCAGCTCCCTATTTTGCTTTTGCTGCCAGATTCAACATCGCACTCATTTGCATCATGGATACCTGCGTTCTTTTATTGCTGCTGAGGCTACGGTCCCAGAATCGTCGAAAAGAGGAGAAGCCCAGTGAATTGCTGCGAGGATTGGAGCACCTGAGCGAGGAGGAGCAGTTTGTTGTGCTAGGAGATCATCATCCGAACTACAGATACACCTACTAGGTAACCCCGGATGAGAGTAATTCGTGAGCCCTGGGCTGACCTATCCACAGATTTGACTTGAAAAGGTAGACGCGGGAACAGAGGCTTCCGTCATCATTTAACACCGGAGCCTAGTCGCCTCGAGCCTGCTCTCCCTTGGATCTCGCGCACACCAAACAACCCGATTGAAGCGACTTCACAGTCTCAATTTATTAAACATCGGGTCTCTCGCCATCAAAGAAGCTCTCCGACACCAATTCTCGAAGCTATTGATCAATTTGCGAAAGGGACGCAGGGAATTATGCACCAAATTACCCTCCTTAAGTCCGAGGTCAATGCACTTCGAGAGGAGAATGCGCTACTTAGTCGTCGACGACGAGCAAAAAAGATACGTCTTCGCGAGGGAGGGAGCACGACTCTCGCTGATGGCCAGGTATACAGGCTCAGAATCAAGTAGCTATCCAGATGAAGCAGGAAATGCAGCGAAATCGTGCTCAAAAGCCTCGGACGGAAACGAAGCCGAGGACCTGTGGAGTCTGCGGAAAGGCAGGCCACAATGCAAGAACCTGTCAGATAGTTAACTTATCCTCTGAGGAAGAGGACTCAGAGTAGTTTGGAATGACTAAAGAAGTTGTGGTTAAGTCAAGTCGTGAAAAGTGATGGTGGTTCGGGCGAGGTGGCCCCCTCGCTTGTCTGGCCCACTCGCTTATCACCTACCGTTATATAAATAAGTAGTTATCGACCTCTTAGTTATGGCGGGCAGACTCGTCAATTCAGCCTATTTGACCCTGACTAGTGCCTATTCCTGCACCCCACCGACATCCACTACGCTGGTAAAAAATAGTATTCGCCACGCATTCCTATTAAGACTTCATTTGCGCTATTCCTTGGAGACTTCCAGTAACTTATGTCGTCCGATAGCCTCGATAAGTTCGACGCAGGCATTCCTGGTCATAATAAAGAGAAACCCCGGAAAACGTCCGGACATTCAGGTGTGCTTATGCATCTCTTCGGCCAACCTTCCTCAATAGCGACAAATTGGCCCCCCGTGATGGACTACATCCTCGGTTCAACCAAGCTATGTCTGCCGAGAAACCCTACCATCTCCCATTCCTGCGATGTCATTCCACCGTTCATTTACAGTATAGAAATCGTGGCATTTCTGACAATATGGTACTGTAATACAAATTCCATGCCCTCATACAAGCCTACTTGAACCACTCACATCAGTAGGGCTCCGAAATGAATAAATGAATATGAATGTTGAAGATCCCGGTGGCTGAAACGGTGTGACAAGGATGGGGAACTTGTGCATATAAGAGAGTCATCCCGCCTGAAAAGGATAATCCTTACAACCAACAATACTATCACTTGCTTCAACAGGTTATGAGCCCGGATTCGCATACAGCAAACAACTGAACATTACCTACAGCTAAGCTTCCGCTCCAAGTGATAGTTCTATCAACTGAATGATCTGCTAATCCACATTATTTAGGAACTCTAGAAGAGACGCCGAAAGAGAAAGGACGTGAAGTCTCTGAGGGAAACGAGATGGATGAACTCCTTTCTCCTGAGCGTTGCTCACAGTGTCACAGATATTCACCACAGTGTCACAGACGCGCATCACAGCGTTGCAAATGCGTATCACAGTGTCATGGATGTCCATCACAGTGTCACAGACGCGCATCACAGTGTTGCAGATATCCATCAGTGTCGCAGATCCTCGGTGGTGGCGAATCCAAATCAGACCAAAACGAACGGAACGGAATCCAAGTTATACGCCATTGTTCAACAATATCTGCCATAAGGGCGGACGCACTGATGCCACATCCGGCAGCGGATCCTCGAGTTGATTCCAGGCCACCACCTCAGCCATCTCGGAGGAAAACAGCACGAAAATCTCTACATTCCTGCACGGACGACGAGCTTAACCTTCTTTCGCACCTTCGGCACCTTCGTCGCTGGCCCTTCAAACGAATCCAGAAGTCTTATTTCCCATCACTATCATCAAGTGCACTCTTAGGAGCCTACTGGCGCCTGTCCGCCGAAGACCGTGTACGCCGAGCATCAATAGTCACTGTTCCAGTTGCCACCCTTCGCAATATTAAAAGGGACCGTCGCAGCGTCTCTCACACTCAGCCCACGTGTCTAAGCCTTGAACAGAGGCCAAGCCATCTTCATTCTCTTATTGCTTGTCCACTCTCCCAGTCAGGAAGCAGCGCTGAAACCTCCATCTCATCTTCGTCAAGTCGTGAGACGGGAGATCGCCAAGTAATATCCGGCGACAGCAATATAAAGCGCTACAACCTTCGACCAAACACGCCAACAACCTTCCTGGAGGGGAAGCCACGGTGCCTAGTTGATCGTCTCCGTTTCCCTCACTTCTTCGAGTCGTACAACTATCACCTGAAACGGCACGGGTTGCCCGACAGTGACTACGCTCCTCCATCCCACACCCCTACACCGGATTCATCCGATAGTAGCCCTTCCGTCGTTTCCAGCGCTCAGGACGAAGCCGAAGAGGGGAATATGCCATGGAACTCCTCCGCATCGATGTGGCCGGGCCATTTGACGAGGGCCTGGACGGAAGTCGTTATTGGCTCACCATCGTCGACGACTTCACGGGGTGGATAGAAATTCCCCCCATCCCACGACGACACGAATTTGTCATCGAGTCGGTCCGCTTCTTCCTCGACCACAACGAACGCCCGGAACGGAAATGTCGGCGAATACGTCTCGACCGGATCCCGGAGCAAGTGGGAGAAGAAATGAAGTTCATGTTCTTCTCAAGAGCCATCCAAGCTGAAGTCACCGGGGTGGACCAACACCAGCAGAACGGAGTGGCAGAAAGAGCCCATAAGACAATTTCCGATCGAGTTGGACCGACGCTGGCGCATGCCAGACTAACATCCAAATTCTGGCCCGAGATTGCTCGAACAGCGGCCTTCCTTTCTAATCGATCCCCGTCGTCCAAGCTCAACATGACGCCGTATCAAGCTTGGTACGGCGACAAGCCTGACCTTTCACGGCTCAGAGTGATCGGATCTAGGGGGAATACTAAATCCCACCCAAGCAAAGAAAGAAGCTGACGGAACCAAGAACGAGGCCATGTTTTCTGCTCGGATACGAAGGAAACACGAACTACCGTGTCCTACTGGAAGACGGCAGAATCATTGGGACGCTGAACGCTGAATTTCATGAAGTCCTTCACACTCCCTCCACACAGACGAGAGAAGATGTGGGAGCGAAACAAGACGACTCACCTAGGGCAACGGCTGCTGCCGCAGGGGGGAGTGAGACGGTGGGAATACTAAACCAACCGTCGGTAAGTATATGGCACGCATCCGTGCCCGCCTCTGGACTGCAAACGTCCATGGCGCCACAAGCACAAACAATGCCTCTACGGAGTAACGATCATGTGCAAGAGCAAATGTCTCAATCGAGTGACGAGAACTCGCAGCCACCCGTTGCTGAACCAGGAGACAGAACCTTGTCGCCCACACGGAGTGACGATATCTTCGGACCATCCTCCGATGCCCGGCAAGTCCATGTCCGAGGGAATGACTCACCACCCGGCGGCGACCAGCAACAAGACGATGCTCAGCAAGATCAAATCTCAAGAGAATGGCGACAATATCCAGAACTCCAACTTGATCGCCCAGAACACATCGTGCGACAAGAAGTATTAGAACGTCATCCTGAACTCAGGCTTCGGCCTGCGGAGGCCATTATCCAGGATATATCTGATGATAGTGCGGAAGAACTCGCATTGATCAACGTACCTGAAAGCAACGTCATCCCGACTTTCTTGATCATGGCAGCGAGAGAAACGGAGCCCTTGGAGCCAAAGACCCTTCGGCAAGCAAAGAATGATCCAAGCTGGCCTGAATGGGTGAATGGAATGGTGGACGAAGTTCGTTCACTGAAACAAAACAGAACATGGGAGCTCGCTGATCCTCCCGAGAAACGTCGTGTTCTCAGTGGAAAGTGGGTGTTCCGACTCAAATGAGGACCCCATGGCGAAGTCGTCCGCCACAAGTGCCGATGGGTGGTGAGGGGCTTCACACAAGAAGAAGGCGTCGACTATAACGAAACATTCGCCTTCGTGGTGAAGCCGATGAGCTACAAAGCTCTGTTCGCAACCGCCGCGGCTTTAGATCTCGAGATCGAACAAATGGACGTCAAGACCGCATTCTTGTATGGCGATATCGACCACGAGATCTATATCGAACAGCCTCACCACATGACCGATGGCACACCGAGGGTCTGCAAGCTTCGAAAGGCACTCTACGGCCTGAAACACTTGAAGCTCAGAACTGGGAGACAAGTGTGATGTTTCATTCGAACAATCTATGAGGGTATGGAAGTTACTTATAGTCACAGCCAGTGCAACAACTGCCTGGTAGGCAGTTGCCACTAGTTGCGATGCTGCCTACAGCGAGCATCACGTGATCTGGGATCCAACTGAAACAAGCACCGCGTATCTGGTACCAAACCCTGACCAACTTCTTACGCAGCCTCGGTTTCGAACCTATCAACGCGGATTTCGGAATATTTGTACGGAGCAACGTGTACCTGGCAGAATACGTCGACGACCTCTTGATCATTGGGCCCAGCATCGCCGAGATAAGGAGGATTAAGTGGAGCCTAAGAAACCGGTTCCAAATGACAGATCTAGGACCGTGCAGCTACTACCTGGGTATGTCCATCCGACGAGATCGACAGAACCGAGTACTCTATCTGAGTCAAGAAGCCTACATCCACCAAGTTCTCCTTCAGTTCGGAATGGACGATTGCGCACCAGTCAGCACGCCCGTAGAGACTTCACCTCTGCCAGACCACAGACCAGAATATACCTGCCCGGCGGAGCAGAGAATCGAGTGCCAACGCATGATCGGATCTCTAATGTATATCATGCTCGGAGCCCGAGGAGACATCGCAAACGCCGTCTCGACCGCAAGCTGGTACCTGGCCAACCCGGGACCACAACATATGAAACTGGCTCGTCGAATTCTCCGATATCTCAAGGGCACAAGGACTCTCCGACTGACATATAAGGGTCACCTCCAAATGTTGAGAGGTTTCACAGATACAGACTGGGCTGGCTGTCGTGACACCAGACGATCGACCGCCGGTTATCTCTTCAACATCGGAAGTGGAGCGATCAGCTGGCAATCCGAGCGCCAGAGTGTCGTTGCCTTATCAACCTGTGAAGCTGAGTTCATGGGACAGACACAAGCAACGAAGGAAGCGATCTGGTTGAGAAAACTCCTCCATGAACTCAACATGAGGCAAGGAAAAGCCGCAACGATCATCTGCGGCGACAATCAAGGAGCCATCGCGCTGTCCTCGAATCCTCAGTACCACTCACGTACCAAGCACATGGACTCACATGGACATCCAACGCAAGTGGCAGGGGGAGGTTGACGGCTCTGGAGCAGTTGAACTGAAGTATACTCCAACTACAGATCAGATCCCCGATGAACTCACCAAGCCTCTTCCACGAGACAGATTTGAATGGTTTCGGAAAGGGCTAGGCATCGAGTAGTCCTCACTGATCGTCGATCCGGGCTAAGAGCGGACACTCGGGCAACTTTTCCTTTCCTTTTCGTTCAAGTGGCCTTTGAAATTTTAACAGGGCCTGTCAGCACCGTGATCGATAGTCGCTGGCACTCTCCTAGAGAAGATAGCCATCGAGTAGGAGTGTTGAAGATCCCGGTGGCTGAAACGGTATGACAGGGATTAGGAGCTTGTGTACAGAGTATATAAGATAAGTCATCCCGCTTCCACAGGAAGAAAAAAGGATAATCTTTAACAATAAACGATACTATCACTTGCTTCAACAGCGAAATAAGCTATATTCGTATTCATTTATTCATTTCGGAGCTCTACTCTTCGGGACCTCGTCCCACCTATACTTCCCACTTGCCAAGAAACCCTACGTGAAGCGACACCCTAGGTGGAGCGAAACGTAACACTTCTCTTTCTTATGCTTTGAGTTCTGTGACTAGAGTAATTAGATAGGAAGACCTATTTTTATTGTGTTATCACTTTGCCTATTCTACACGCCGCTCCTGATACCTTGCCTGGCCGAATGTCTTTCTAAACTGTCGCATACCTGGCCTAACTATAGGGTGGTGGCGGTGGCGGTGGAAGGCAGTGATATCCAATACATCTACCTTAGGCACAACAATTTGATCTCTACTCTACTCGACGATGACAGGGCAACCGAGGTGTCGTCGCCGGCAAGCGCCAGCGACTAGAGATGTTCAACCTTAATCGGCGGTGAATCTGGTGCATGTAATGATTGTGTGAGAAAAAGTGGGCTAGGGTGTTTGAGCGTAGATTTAACTTCGAGGATGCTATAGGGCCTCAACTTCGGTCTTGAAGTCCCCAGCTCTGGATGAGCAAAACCTTCGCTCTATTACGCCTTCCTCCACGAGACCGAATGTTAATTACACTTTGAATTGACTTGAGAACGCAGGTCGATATTATCCATGTTTGTACACCCCCAAAATTTTCTTCTATCGAGTCCGCCTGCCGCTTCTTGAGGGTACCATTTTCAGCAAGTTCCAAGTTCGTCAATGATGCTCGGGAAAGTTGTATGGGTGGTGGAGTCGATATGGGTTGGAAAGAGCGACCTATGTTCAGCCTTCTTGGCATGGAGGAAATCCGCCTACGAAAGCGGCGGTATCAGCCGCCCAACTCAGCGGGGAAGTTCCCGCGAACCTAGGATCAAGGTTGTCTTGTTTGTTTCGTCTCAAATTGCTTCACTCAGCTTTCTTGCTGGTTTTGGTCCGTAGTTTCATGCAGACGTAGACAAGGATGTAGCTGCTGAAGGCGTAGATGACGCAGATGCCGGCGTCCTGCCAGCCGTAGTAGTAGTTTTTGATGTTTAGCGTATCCAAGTAGTCACTGCCACGCGTATATTGACAGACACGGCAACCGGACGTTGCTTCCGGATTGGTCAAATTCATCCGGGACCCCATGCCCAGTCGGTAGTCGGCGAGATAGTCAGCGCAGGTCTGATTGGCATTGGGCGTGTCGAACACGGCGAACTCGCGTTCGGAACAGTGGACGGGCTTGTCGAAGATGGTGAAGGTGAGCAGGGAGCCCATCAGGAACGTGAAGGGGTTCAGATAGTACATCCAGTAGCGCCAAAATGTTTGGATCTGGTTGTATGGCATGAGGACGCCGCAGAAGGAGGTCAGCATGGAGATCAGGAATGGATTGATCAAGGATGCCGCCACCGCGTTCGGAGCATACGCGGCGACGAATTGCCCCATCCCCGTGTAGATGAACTCGTAGACGAGCATGACGAAGAAGACGGCACCAGCCTTATCAGCGTCCGAGGGGAAGCCGACGGTATAGTAGAAGCAGACAAAGTAGAACACCGCGCAGATGATCAGGTACGGGATCTCGGAGACGATGAGGCCGGTGACGAACGCGATCCAGCTGTACATTTTGGATTTCTTCTCCCGGGCGTCGTATATGTCACGGCGAGAAATGAACAAAGGTTGCAGCTGCGCGATGACGCCGGGCGCAACGAAGATGAAGTTGAAATTAGAAAACAAGGCCAGCTGTAGGTCATTGACCGAATTGCCAATCATCCAGAACGAGAAGCCGTTGAACAGCGCAGACCCTACATGCAGCGCGATCTTGTTGTTGACGTACTCCAGATTGCGGAAGAGAGCGAGATTCATTCGGTGGGTGACAAGCTTGGTTTGCGTCCACAAAGTCGTGGCGAATTCACTATCGTCGACGACGGTGGCGGGCGGCTTGGAGGCTGCATCCTCGATCATGGCATCGAGCTCGCGAGTGACGGCTTGACATTCAGGAGACGCGAGCCAGACCTCGTTCCAATCGTGGCCCCTGGACAGGTGACCGGAGACGACGTCGATCATGTGCTCGGCAGGATTGGCATCCGGTGGACAAGGGGCGCCATTGCGACCAAAATAATCCCGAATCGTCTTTCCATTCTCGCCGATGTCGCCAAAATAGACCGTTTTGCCGCCCTTGGCCAACAGTAACAACGTGTCGAACTGAGCAAAGAGCTGGGCGCTCGGTTGGTGAATAGTGCACAGCACAGCTTGTCCGGCGGCGGCCAGTTTTTTCAGGAAACGGAGAGTATTGAAGGCTGCTTGTCCATCCAGGCCTGATGTGGGCTCGTCGAGGAAGATGAGGGTGCTCGGCTTAGCCACCAGTTCGACGCCAATGGTCACCCGTTTTCTTTGCTCGACACTCAGACCGGCACCAGGGCGACCGATGAGGGAGTTCTCCAAATCATGCAGTTCGAGCAAGTCGATGACGGTATCCACATACTTCAATTTCTCCACCTCAGGGGTGTCACGACTTTGGCGGAGAAGAGCGGAGAATTCCAGTGCTTCTCTCACGGTCGCATACGGCTCGTGCACATCCAGCTGCTCACAGTATCCCGCAGAGCGCTGGAACGAGATCGGGAGAGGACGGCCATCGACCAGGATGGAACCGCGGATGGTGCCATCCGTCTTGCGCTGGGCGAGCACGTCCATGAGGGTCGTCTTGCCCGCCCCCGACGAGCCCATCAATGCGCCCAGCATGCCCGGTTTCACCCACCCTTGGACGCCATCCAGAAGGAGCCGATCGCCAGAGGGCGTTTTCACTGTGTAGGAGAGATTCTTCCAGGTGAAGATCGAGGTGTTTCGGACCAAGTCGAGACCACCGTTGTTCTTGTCCACCTCGCTGGCAGAGCTGTCGACGTTGGAGCTCTTTTCTCTCGACTGAGACTCTTCGTCTTGTGGGCTGAGAATTCTTTTCTGCTGGAGGCGTTCACGGGGGATCAAAAGGACACCTCCACCCATCGCTGTGTTGTGCCATCGGGTGGTGAAAAAGATGGTCAGACCCGCAAAAAGAGCCCACCACGCCCAAAGAATACCAAAGTTCCTCCAGACGTTCGAGCTGGAATAGGACAGCGACCTCAGGTACTGTTCACCCGTCACGGACGTCGCTCCAACCGACGCACCACCGATCCCTGCACAGGCCGCAAAAGCGCTGTTGGTGTAGCCCGGGCCCGACGGGATCAGATTGTTTCGGACGCATGCGATGACACGGCCTTTGAACTCATTGCCCATCAAAGCGGAGAATGCGTATGCCAAGGGGTCTATCCAGTAGATCCAGACGAACCAATCATACATTCCACCTTTGGGAATCATGTAGCCGGAATACATGATCAATGCCCCGACCAGAAAGCCGGAGACCTTTGATGCATCGTCGAAATTACTGAAAGAAGCTCCCACCAGTCGAAACATGGCTGTCATGCACATGGACACGGCGAATAAAACAATCCAAAACGTGAAGAATGACCCGGCTGACATCTGTAAGCCCACCATGAAGTAAATGATGAGCGACCAGACAGTAATCTGACACAGAATTACGGGGATGTCGGCCGAAATCTGGGCGATGCAGAAAGCTGCAGGGTGGTAAAAGGCAAAATCTTTGTGCTTGGCGAGTACAGCTCGACCAGAAAAACTGTCCGTCACTTCGGACATGGCCATCAGACCGAAGGCGAGGATGGAGATGAAGAGGGCACCTCCTTTCGAGAACAGGCCCGCCGAAGTGTCCGGCGCATCGTAGAAGAGACTCCCGGTGACAAGGCCCAGAATCAGGATGGTCATGTTCTTGACCGCAAAGGTGGCCTTGTCACCCCATATGATTTGGTATTGGCGAATGATTGCGTTTCTGGTCTGGATCTTGAAGGGTACGGTAAATGGCGAACTCTTCGGCTGCTCCTTGGCCTTCTCGTTCGTCACGCTTTCCTTGAATTTTGTGGTTGCGACTTGAGTGGTCTCGGTGTCGGGAAAATCGTACTCAAGACTCATTTGGCGATTGATTTCGGACTGAAGGTAGATATCACGGAGGCTGGTAGCATCTTTTGGGAAGGTCATCCGGCATTCTTCTCGCACGGCGCGTTCAGTGGGGACCGTCACGCCGGTGAGAAAGTCGGCCACGTTGGCCCCGTTGTCACAAATGAAGCCGAGCTTCTCCATGAAAGGCCGTGCCTCCTTCGTGGGTCCGTAATAGATCTGCTTGCCTTCATCAAGCACGAGGACCTTGTCAAACAAGTTGTAGATTCCATTGCCTGCCTGGTACAGCGTAGCGATTGTGGTCAATTTCAGGATGTCAGTCATGGCCCGGACGGCTTTCGTCCATTCGAGTGCCGTGGATGCATCGAGCCCACGGGTGCTGTTGTCCCAACAAAATACACTGGCTCGGCTCGCCAGACACTCGATGATCGATATCCTTTTTCGCTCGCCGCCTGAAACACCTCGGATGTACTCGTTCCCGACTTTGGTGTCGTTCGTGTGCTCGATGCCCATCGAGGCCAGTAAGAAATCTTTGAAGTATTGCTGATAAGCTTCTGGGCTTCGCAATTTATCCGGACGGTTGGCCGAGACCTTCATCCGGGTGGCAAAGTCCATCGTCTGCGAGACAGTGAGAGAAGGGAAGAATATCTCCTCTTCTGTGTTGATGACAATTTGCGCCCGGTATTTGGCCGCCTCAGCTGGTGTCATCGAGCCAAAGCGGACGTTGCCTTTGACCTCCCTGTACCCACCTCTTTTGTTTGCCAGCATCTTGAGCAGCGTTGTGCATCCAGCGCCGGGCCGACCGAGCACCAACAACATCTCCCCTGGCTTCACACAACCGTGAGAGTCATCCAGGATGGTGCGCAGGGACTGTGGAGCACGGCTGTCTCTTATTTTTTGAGGGATATTAAACTGTGACAACGCATTCTCATGGACGGCCGCGTCCATACCGAGCCCGCGGACGGTCAAATGCTGCCAGGTCACACCCAGCGCCCGGTCGGCCTCTTCTTTATCGTTCTCCTGCCCGTGGGCGAGTTTGAACTGTTCGGCCAGAGCCCATTGCTCTGCATTTTGAGCAAAGGGTTCCTGGTCTTCTTGGGCCTCGGTGTCGTACATCTCCCTTTCAGCGCGTTGAGACCAAGTCGACTCGTGGGACAACATTCGCCATAGGGCTTGACCAATCGTGTCCGAAGTCGACCGACGATGCGATACCTGGGATGCCCTCGAGTAGTGTGAGTTGGTTCTATCGAGCTGAGCGCTCTGACGAGCAATTTCTTCCCTCGTTACTGAATCCATGATAAGCACCGCGAGTGTCACTCTCAGTTCCCAGTTCCGGTCTTGCACGCTATCTCACGCCAGGGTGAAGCCTGGTTCGGATTCGGAGCTACAACGAGGGTTGCTGAATTTGTAGAAGAACACGTGGAAAGGCGCCCCTTTTGTAGAGATCTCGTTATCCGGCTATTGCGAGAGCCTGATTTTAAAGTCTCTCAATGGGTCCGTCTCATTTCCTCTGTTTAGGCCGGCCCTCAGGTATAGTACTTCTATTGGTGACGTCGCAAGTGGGGATGTTTCGGTTCGGTTTTCTAAATTAGCGATTCCGTGCGTCTATTTTAACAAAGTTCTCCCCTACGTATCTTGAGCGGCACATTACACGGCAATTCATGGCCAAAATTGTGAGATTCAGTGGCTACAGTGCTCCAGGAACGCGCCTCACGGATCTCGGGATCACTGGCGGACCGTACGGAGGTGTTCACAAAATTTCCGTCGCAACGCGAGTCTTTAGGTTTCGCCTTCAGTGCTTGGGTTAGGCGCTCATCAGCGTCCTCTTGATAAGTTGTCGAACAAGCACTCAAGAGGGTTGGGTTAATTCTGAGCACTGCCTGGATTGCTCATATTCGCCAACCCTCCTAATCGTCCTAATCATCGCTGGGGCGCCCTAGCAACTCGTCCTGTGTAGGCATGCTCGTAAATGCTCTACTCACCTGCTCTCTCTATGCTTCCGACTTGACAATACAAAGACATGATAGTCAAAGACTTATCTCCAGCTGGTCCGTGTTTTTAGTTAGGCAACAGGTCCACCAAAACAACTTTTGAGCCGCTGTATCACAAGCTTTGCTACAGCCAAAGACAACAACCAAGAGAACATAGGAAATGACTTCGTGATGGTGGATTATATGTTGACAGGTTATGTTTTTGTTCTATCTTTGTTCTCCTCTTCATGATCATGGTCAGATTGTACGTCTGTCGGAGATGGAAGGCCGACCGACTACCTCTTCGTGCGAAGCAGTGACCACATTGAGGCAGACCAAATTTCAACTCTTTACAATCGGTCTAGACGCGGCCTGGTTGACAGTCTTCAGATACGTCCCTCGAATCATCGAGCTGGTAGGAGGATGATTCAATCCCATCATGCATGATGAACATCATGCATGATGAAACTGAATCCATCGTCCTAGAAGGGTTGTGAGTGTCGACCGGAAGTCTCGTCACTTCTTTCCTAAAAGTACTCTCTAGAATGACTGCAATTGCCGTAACTGTGCAGTCTATATTGCATCCCAGGTGCGCTTTCCCAAGGCTTGTGTCCCGAGGGAAGTCAATGTTGACTTCCAACCCCGGCAAATCGTCCCTAGGTCCTTCGATGGGTAACCTCCAGACTTACAATCGTACCAGATTAGGAGAATAAAATGCTGCCATACTCTGTCACCATGAAGCCTGCGTCAGTCGCCGCTACAGCTTTCTGGGCTGATAGTGCACGATTACTTGGTCAAACTGTTTCTTTGGTCAAGAATGACTAGTGCAAAAAGCCAACGAGTCCAAACATATGGCTTACTTACAGCCGAGAAACTGTGCTCGCCATTAGCTAGTCTTGTGATGAGAGGATATTTCAGTCCAGCATTGCGTAGTATCAACAAAAGATCAACCGCGGCAATGAAACAACTCAGATACACAACACACAGTACGACAGGTTTGGCCTCACAAACAGAGCGAGTCCAAAGCATAGAGGCGACTTGAGACTGTGACTTGACTTCCTTTGTTGGGCCATGGTTCTCCCTCGTCGCACATTGCACTCCAAAGCCCATGTGGCTCACAAGACTGTGACAAGCATTGACGCCTGGAGACTAATCGCCGCTGTCCAATTGTACTGTACAATGTATGGAAGTTTCGGTCGTCAATCACTTGTAGGCTTGGGGGCTTTACCCTCATGGGTCAACTGTTCGCTGACTCAGCGGGAACTCTAAGTAGCCTTGCCCGAAACGCATGGGCCAACCGTATCCGAGGTTGGCATAAATCAGTCTCCCCTGTTGAAAGGAAAGTTTACCAGAAGTCGAGGAAGACTGCCCTTCCCGCGGAACTTAAGTTGAGATGCAATTATTCCCTGGCCCACCTTAAAGGCCCAAAAATATCTTGTTGCCATTTCAGAGGATAATAAACCACAAAGAAACGCAGTGATGCAGAGCTAGGCAAGTTTCATGCGTCTGTGGTGTTACTGGAAACGATTCAAAGCATCGGCGGCAGATAGCGAAGACCAACCTACCGTTAAAGTTCCCTTCATCGAAGGCTTTTGAGCACAAGCTCGGTCAGGGGATAGCGTTTACTGCTTTTCTCCGATGTTCGCGAAATTGTACTGAGACTGCAGACATGTTTCACTCGACTTCAGCTTCTGCTGAAAGTGGCAATCGAAGTGTTCCAGCACGGCATGCATGTGATGCATGCCATCGTAGAAAGGCAAACACTTCCTCCAACACAAGCATATTACGGTAATGGCCACCAAATTTCGAGTTACTGACTTTTTATAGATTAAATGTGATAATGCGACGCCTCAATGTGACTGGTGTCGCCATCATGGAAAGTCTTGTACCTTTACCCGAGCATACAGCTCGAGACAAAGGCAGAATCGAGCAAGGTGAGCAGATTCATCCCGTAAACCGATATAACCGTCGAAACGAGGCTAATCCTCAACTTCTGGCCGTAAAAGCAAGTTGAGGGAATCCAATCTCATACGGCGACTGGAGCGTATGGAATTAATCCTGTCGGAAAGTCTCCAAAAGGGGGCTAGTAAGTAATTCGCCATCCTCCGGAATGTTCAGCGTCGCTCACTGTCACCAAGGACCAGTCAAGCAGAACATGACAAAGTCGAACCCAACTTCCCACTCGGCAAAGCAGAGTTCAAATGATAACAACTCGTCACCGCCTCAGACGGCAAACATTGGGTATTTATCACTGTCTGCCTACAACCTCGGTGATATCAACCTCTTCCATGGCGTACCGTTCTTATCGCACAAGGGCCAAACATGGGTTGGATTTCGTAGGGAGACTGTTAACTCGGAGGATGCAGATCATAAGGCGCCTGAGCCTCTTTGGTCCAGTCAGCACCATGTATTCAACGCCGAAACCCTGCGGCAGGGAGCGAGGAGGGAGTTGCCACCCCGCAACGTTCTCGAAACTCGCCTCGCACTTTATCAACAGTCTCAATTTTCCAGCTATCTACCACTCATTGATCCGGTATTGTTTGCCAGGACTGTTGAAGAGGCGTACAAAGACAGCCATCCGGAATCAAGCGCAGCTTTACCGGCGAAAGCATGTGTCTTTGCATTTCTTGCCCTTGGATCACTAGTGAGCGACCGAGGAGAAAACCCTTCGACCTCTCCGCATATCGAGGGCTGCGACATCGCTGGTCAATCGCTCATACCTGGTCTGTTGGAGGCACGGCCGAGCATTGAGACTGTTGATGCCCTCGTGATGATGGTAAGTGGCCCAATCTTTCTACGACCGCCGTTACTAGCCTCCTCTCCAGTCCATACACAGCTGCAATTCGCTATTACAGCTGAAGATATGCTGCGGGACTCTCTCCACACGTGCTAACGAACCCCCTCCTATTAGGTAGTACATCGATTCAGCTGTGGAGACATCCATATGGCCGATATCTTACTGTCGCTTTTGTCCCGATTCATTTTCATGTTGGGTGCAAACCTCTATCCGGGTCGAGAGGTTGATGGACTTCCTGACGATTCCCCTTCCCTCGAAATTCGAACAACTCTCCATCTGCGTGAGCTTTTCTGGGTTTGCTACACGCTAGACATGGACATCACATTTCGTACAGGCCGGCCGCCATGCCTGAATGACTCCTCCTGCGATCTAACACTGCCACTTCATTACCTAAAGCAAATCTCGCCAAATCTCACGATTGGTTGGCGTTTTCCAGGCGACTTACGGCTGAGCATTATCAAGTCCAAAACCTACGAAATACTCTACTCGCCGCATTCTATGAAAGCTTCCGACGCGGAAATTCTGGAAAATATCCGAATCCTTGATGATATGCTGGAGAAGTGGAGGTTGTCGACCAAGCCTTTCGTTCCCAGAAAGCCTCGCAAACGGCTCAAAGTCCACCAGAGTGGAAATTCCAGCTTTTTTAATCTCACTTGAGTATTACCACTGCATGACCACGATTCACCAGGCGATCAGTCGCTGCTCAAACTGGACTCACAATGCTCGACTTGTCGACGGCTTGATGTCCAGCATTGGAGTTGCTCTGCACGCCAGTCGCTCGATGCTTTGCTCTTTGTTTTCTAGAGTGCAAATTCTCATGCTACATCTCTTCTGGTAAGCATCCGAGGCTCTGCAGTCCGTCAGCCATAAGTTAGACGGCTCGGTATCGATGCTATGGGCTTTGTCAAACTCTCAATCCTCCCGTCCTTGGCTGTTGTACTGGAACTACTGCTGATTCCCTGCCTCATTTCTCTAGGGTAATTCTATTCTACCCGTTGTCAGCTATGCTGATCCTCATGTGCAACATCCTTCTAGATCCGTCGAGTCACACAGCCAAAGCAGATCTAAAGATCCTCGGCGAATTTTTGGTCTTCATGAAAGAAAACTTCTTTAGTGGTTATAGGGTGTCCGAGAGTCAGATGCTACACGCGAAGCACGTCTACAGGACTGCTGAAGAACTCGTTCACATCGTGCAAATGGTGGTCCTATCGAATGGTCAGGTAGGATTCTGAGAGCTGAAGACAGCATTCGTGTCTCTTGCGGCTGCAACTTCCAGGCTCGAAAGCGAATCCAGTCGTCGGTAGCACCAGCCCAACCACCTTAATAAATATCATCGAACGATACCATAGCTCTCGCAAGCCTGGAACAATATTCAACAGCACATCTTCAATGTGGCTAGAAGTCCTTCCAACCACGCGCATTCTGAAGCCTTTTGCGGCACATGTTACCTTGACAGCCCTGGTCACTCCGTCACCGCTGGTACAATGCCCTGGAAGAAAACCACCAACTTCATTCCCATATTTCTGATCTTGGTACCTCGATATTCGAATGCAGGACTGAAGATAGTAATTACGTGATATTCAATGCGGGTGTGAAAGCCGAGTCAACCAGAAGGGTCACCACGTGACAAGGTCAGTTGCATCAGTAAAAATTAGCTGTGATCAGATTGGGTAGCACTGAGCTCTACTGGTGACGTAGGAGCACGGAGATATATACACGCGGTCATTTTGTAGCTTTGCTACATAGTCAACTTCGTTCACAATCACTGCCATCCGTTTTGTGCATACCGATCACTAGAGCTCCGAAATGAATAAATGAATACGAATATAGCTTATATTCATGAAAACACCACCCACAGCTCAGAACAAATTTTTGAAAACGCGTAAATTACTCTAGTTCTCTTCGTCAACCTACTTTATCTTAGGCCAGTATCACGAGTGACGCGTCCAAAACGCGTGATTTCGTGGTAATGGCACCGAGATGGCCGCAGGTAAACAATGGTCCCGAAAACATCAACGAGCATGCCACATACCTTAGAGAAGCAAGTCACCAATTGCAGGCCGCGGATAAGGGCAGGGCCAATCAAATACCCTGGAATGTAGTTCAACCGTACATTGCATCCACCGTGGCGCTCATCAGGAAGGTGCTTCAGCAGCCGTCGATGAGCGCCGTTCTCCAGCAGATTCAAGATGCGGCTAAGGGGATTGAGGTCATTCGAAGAGACATCACCGTCGTTAAAGGCTCCGTAGGACTCGGCACCACACCATTGAACATTGCGAACTTCACCGGCGGCAAGACTGCTACGCCATCATGGGCGCAGGTTGCGGCACAGGCCAAAGGCGCCATGTTGCCGCCACCGCCACCACCAATCCAACAAAGCCCACACGCCTACAAGACCTCGGCCCCAGTCACCGCATACAGAGATCGGGTTGTCACGGTCAGGCTGAAGGACCAGAGTTTTGTTCAACGGTACCGAAGCCATCCAGTTGCTTGGACACGACAACAAGTACAAGCCTCAATACGGCAGAACACCCCCTCCAACTCGGTTAATGTGGTAGCGGCGTACCAGCTCAAAAGCGGAGATATCCAGATATTCACCAGCACGACCACGGAAGCCAGACAACTCAAAGAGCACAAAGGCTGGCTGAAAGGTCTAGGGGAGCAAGCTGAACTCATCATGCCGACCTACGGTGTCATTGTCCACGGCATCCCGACCAATTCGATCAGCATCAAAGATCAGAAAGCCACCATCCAACACATGCTGGCAGACAACTACGCAGTGATCTCTTGCGCCGAGATCAGCTACGTGGGGTGGCTGACCAAGGAAGCCAGCCTCAAACGGGCGTCCTCGATCGTCGTCGAATTCACCGACCCAGAAATGGCCAACGCCATCATTTACGCTGGCATGGCATGGGATGGCCACATCCACCAATGCCAACTCTACGACCGCGCCTGCAGGGTGGAACAGTGCTTCCGTTGCTACCATTATGGTCATATCGCCACTCAATGTAACGCATCCCAGACATGCGGCTATTGTGCGGAGCTACACGAGTCCAGACACTGTAAACAGAAGGGACTGGAAGGGTTTGTACCGCGCTGTACGGTGTGCAAAGGTGCCCACACCGCATGGAGCAATGCCTGCCCAGCCAGAAAGAAGGACTTAGAGAGAGTGGAACAAGCCAAGCAGATCCGGAGCATCTATTGGCATGTCCCTGCCAAAGCGAACACCACGCGACCGAGAACAGACAACACAACCAGCAGCAGCACCGTCCGGGAGGCCGCTCAACCGAGAGATCCTTGCCCGGCTTCACCCATTCCGGCTCAAGCGACGACCAGGGGTCAGGCGAATCCACTGAGACCGTGACCGCGCAAACTGAGCGTCAGGCACTCTTATCTCCCATTACAGGGCAGGCAACTGCGTTGACAGGAGCGCCCGAGGCAGCCCAGGGACCTCACGAAGTCATTGCGACACAAACGCCGGAAATTCCAGCCGGCGGAGAGGAGTGGACAACGCCAGCGACACAGCAAGAGCCCGCACAACAACAGCCAGATCTGCCAATCGACCCACGACTCAGGCAAACAGAGGAGGATTTTGCCCTAGTTCAAGCATCCCAGGGCAACGCAGCTCGACTATCCACGCAGCGGATGGACGCCCCGAACGAGGCGTTTGAAATGCAGGACACCGGTGCCTGGCTCGACAACATATTCAACGACAACGAGGACGTGTGGATACCGGACACGGCACATGCTGAATTGTCACCACTTACTTCGCTAGCGACTGACCCATACATAGCGGCAGGGAGGACGTTCAAGGGGTGCAGGTGCCCGACACACCAGCACCTGTACGACGACTGGCCCACACGCGATGTGGAACTAACCATCGCCAAATGCATGACAATATGTGTATACTGTGGGGTCGACTACCAGAGAGCGACGACACTACGGCTGCATCTTAAGTGTGCCAAGCACGCTCAAGACAACATCAGCATCGTGCGAGGGACCCAGGGAAGAGGGAGCTCCGCCACTCCATCGT